ATGTGTATTCCAACAAAGTCTGCTGGTCCCAACTGAGATTAGAGCTTTCTTATGCTATTACTCGAGCAAAATTAAAGGAGGCACCTGTTTCACATGTCTGAGTATGTAAATATATGTCATTTGCTTTGAATCCATGGATCTGTTTGTAGTTGCAGTGAAGAGGGGGGATTCAAATGTCTCTCAACTTTGTAGCTGGGTTGGTTTCTTTGTATCTGGCTTGGTTTTATTAGGATGTGTGTAATTTCTATGGCTCAAGGAAAGGTAGTTGTTGTAGAGATTGTCTCCTGGTTTGTGTCCCTGCACACTGAGGAAATAACGTTATTTTCATCACAACATCCTTCACTTCATCTTAAGGAAACAAAACAAAACAAAAAAAGAAATAGGAGCATGGTGTCTATTGATACGTCTAGCCTACAGGCTTTTGTCGACAGAGGTGTTGTCGACAGATACTGTTGGCAAAGTTTCTGTTGACAAAGAGTGTCTAGAGTACATTCAGTTCTGTTGAGAAAGCAAGCTGCTTTGTCGACATGAGAGTGTAGACGCAAATGGCAGTGTAGATGCAATAACCCGTTCTGTTGACATTCCTCATAGAATGAGGTTTCCCGCCGTCAACAAAACTGCCGAATTCTGTCAACATTATGTATAGTTAGACAAAACTACAGACAAAAGTCCACTTTTGTCGACAAAACCTTGTAGTCTAGACACACCCTAAGAGAGAGCACAGTGTGTGTGCATCCCCTGTGACAGTCTGCACTGAACAGAATATGAAATAGCACAAAAGTGTGAATTTTCTCTACAACATAAACACAGAGAAAAAAAATCATACACAAGCTATTTACACCTCATCAGCACGTTAACTATGTGTTCTTGCTCTTAGTTCTCTTGGGATGTATTATAGACTGTGAAGGATAACGGTTTTATATGATGAGTGAGAAATGGATGAAGCTGCTCTCATAAATTATTTTTTAGTTCACAGCTGCTTAGAAAATATTCATCTCAATGTGACTGAAATCTGAAAATGTCCTAAACATAGAGCAAATTGAAAACATTATTTGAAATAAAAAATAGCTGTCGGTGGACCATTACAGTTAGCTGTTCCTATATGGGCCTCATCAACATAAATCTCTGAGCACCTCAAAATCTTTATTGTTTTATTTGTCATAACTTCCATGTTAGGTAGCACAATATTATCTCAGTTTCACAAATGAGCTGACACACAGAGAAAGTACAGGTCCTGCTTCAAGACTATATGCGAGGTCTGCAGTAAAGTCAGGAACTAAGCCCCAAATTAAAGAGTTCTAAGCTAATGCTCTCAATACGACTAGATGATAATTCCTTCTCCTGACAATAAAAGAACAACTTAAAAAAAAACCCAAATGATCCCATCTATGTTTTGTTAGTCTTCAAGGTGCTGCTACACTATTAGTTGTTTTTTAAGTTTTTCCAGTTATAGGCTAACTCGGCTACTCCTCTGAAGCAATGAAGGACCAGTTGTGTAAAATATGTATGTAAAAGAACGGCAAAACAGTCCCTCTTTCTCTTCATCAAGCTCATAATCTGCTGATGATCATTATTCTGCTAAAATATGTGCGGCAATGTTATGTGTAAAATTAGAAGATTCTGCTGTGTAATGTATTGAGCTGTTTCAAGTTGAGACAAGGAGGCAGGGGCGGACTGCCAATCAAAATAGGCCCGGAAAGTGGGTTGAGAACAGCCCTCTCCATGACATCATCCTGCGTGCGCCTCCCCCTTTTTGACGTCACCCCCGTGTGACTCTACACCTGCGTGCTGATTCTAGGTTTTTTGCCACTCCAATCAAAACATTTTTTGCCCTCTCCCCTTTTTTGTCCGGGGAGAGTGCACACGCAAATGCAGCTGGCACGGCTTTCTGGGGGTGCACGCACAAATGCAGCTTGTGCAGCTCCCTGGGGGGGGGCGGGGCACGTGTTCCAGGGAGAGCCGAAACCACAGGGTATATTCATCTCCTAGCAGAAGCCCCTTCCTCTCCCACACTTTCTCCCTATTTCCCCCCCCTTCCCCTCTCCTACTTAACTTCTGCCTTCCAGTTTGTGGGGCTGGAATCTGCAATTGGACCCCAGCTGCTTCTGGGGCTCCAGACCATGGAGCTGGGCCATGCGGTGCAACGCTGGGCCGGGCAGTTTTAAAGTCCCGGGCCATGACGTCACGCCACGCCCAGGTGTCTCCCCTTTCATCTGGTGCACGGGGTTTGAGTATGCCACGCATGCGCTCCCTCAGCTCCACAATGGCTTATACATGGCTGGTACACGGCGTCGGGGAATTTAAAGTGCAGGGCTGTGATGCCCCATTATAATCCCCCTCCTCCTCCAGCATCCGCCAGCCAGCCCTTAGGAGGACAGCCCACCGGGAAATTCCCGGTCTCCCGCCGGGCAAGTCTGCCCCGATAAAGGGGCCTCCAGCAGCTTGTTATGCACCAAAGAAAATTTGATATTAAGGGACATCCCCATTAAGGAAAGCAGATCATTAACATCACACAATGGGAAAGAGCTTAACACTATTTACCCAAGAACTCATAGGACTCTTGGGTCTTTAGTCCAGCCAAAGGTCCGTGGGATTACAGGATCTTGATGGATGTGGCATTTTGGGTATGGACCTTCTATCAACATTTAATGATAAAATAGACCTGCCAAATAGGATAATAAGCAGGGCTGAAAATGGAGAAGCAGGGAGATCCCAGTAGCCCACCAACTCGCAACCATAACAGCAGACTTTAATGATGGGAAGCGATTTTCTGCTTCTAACAGGGACACCGAGTGACACTTTAACTGTATTTGCTACCTACGCCCTTGGGGTAACAGGCTCCTGATGGCCATTTTAGAATATCATAGTCTGTGATTAGATAGATAGATAGATAGATAGATAGATAGATAGATAGATAGATAGATAGATAGATAGATAGATAGATAGATAGATAGATAGATAGATAGATAGATAGATAGATAGATAGATAGATAGATAGATAGATAGATAGATAGATAGATAGATAGATAGATAGATAGATAGATAGATAGATAGATAGATAGATAGATAGATAGATAGATAGATAGATAGATAGATAGATAGATAGATAGATAGATAGATAGATAGATAGATAGATAGATAGATAGATAGATAGATAGATAGATAGATAGATAGATAGATAGATAGATAGATAGATAGATAGATAGATAGATAGATAGATAGATAGATAGATAGATAGATAGATAGATAGATAGATAGATAGATAGATAGATAGATAGATAGATAGATAGATAGATAGATAGATAGATAGATAGATAGATAGATAGATAGATAGATAGATAGATAGATAGATAGATAGATAGATAGATAATGTGCGAAGAGAGAGAGAGAGAGAGAGAGAGAGAGAGAGAAGATATATCTACACTAGCCTCCTAGTTAGAACTAGGGAGGCTAATGAGGGTGACCAAAATTGCAAATAAAGCATGGGATTTAAATATTCCATGAGGTTTAACTGTTAATTCGAACTAAGGGGTTATCTCGGAATCACGCTTCTCTGCCGCCTGTAGACACAGGCAGTTATTCCAGGCTAGTCAATTTCCAAAATGGCGACCGGACGGGAATATGCTAATGAAGCACAGGAAATTTAAATCCTACGCATCATCTGCAATTTTGGTCACCCCCATTAGCCTCCCTAGTTCGAACTGTAGGATAGTGTAGATGTACCCAGAGAGATGAAGAGTTTGGGATCTTTCGAGTAATTATCTTTTCCATGGACATGTTTCATCTTTCAATCAAAATAATTTCTCCTCTCCTCAAACTGTGGCTGTGGGACTCTGGTAATTTCTTAGGGCAGTTCAGTACGAGGAGAGTCCATCATGCATCATGGGGGGTGGAGTCCAGCCAGGGAGCCTGGCCCATGGCAGACAATATCGGGCTCTGGTATCTGAGGCACCTTGGTTGTATTTCTGAGGGGATCCATTGTGTTTTCAGCCAAAAGCTTTCAGTCTCCATAAACAAAGCCTTTGCCACTCAGCTCGACATAGTCCCTGGGTTGAACTTTGAAATCAAGAAGATGAAATGCACGCCCTGTTGCACCGTGCAACTCTGAAAGAAATTGCATCATTCAGTAACACAGGAGGAAAGAGCGCGCCAAATTAATCCCCCGGGAATGAGATGCACCCAAGGAGACTTTGCTTCACTAAGCATCGTAATTAGGTGTTGTGCTTCTCTCAGATCAGCTATTCCTGGTTACTTCAGAGAGCATGTCCCATGGATCAGAGATCTGAGTATAAAATTTCCTGAACACTCCAAATTAATGGGGAAACACCACATCTCTTTCCACAGCAGGTACGTGCTATTGTCTTACATCACAGTCACACACTCATTCAGACACCGGTGTGATCAGCCATACTGAATTCATGACCTACAACACTAAAAGCCTCAGCCTACCTTGAGCTATTGAAACACTATGCATTTGGGAAAAAATTGGCAATTACATAGACATTGAAGCCCCTGATTTCCAATATTTCTCAGGATTTTCTGACAGAACAATGTAAATGCCATTTCAGTTGCAAAAAAAGCTGAATTAGCTCAGCACACAAGCTTTTCCACAACACACATGCCATGCCACAAAGCTCCTTTTGGCCAAAAAGGGTGAAAAGTTTGCTCACACACCTTCATGAGCCAAATAATAATCCCATCACACTGTTTGCTGTTTCTATTCGAGATCAGTGCTGTTTGTGTCTGTGATGTGATTATTCTGTGTGTATATTGGGTGCATTGTATAGAACAACTGGCATGATCAGCCGTTAACTTCTGACTCCATAGACTAAACCCATCTCCAATCTTATACTGATGCTCATTAATATACTGATCTCCATTTTTCTTCTCTTAATTTGTTAGCAAGAAAAATTATGTTACCCAAGCCATCTAATGTCCCACTGTAGCTGCTGGATCTCTGCTCCGAGGACATGGAAGAGGGAAATCACTCGGTGGTGACTGAGTTCATTCTCTCAGGACTGACAGATCATCCAGAGCTACAGGTCCCCCTATTTGTGTTGTTCCTACTGATTTATATTACCACTCTGATCTGTAATGGGGGGATGATCTTGTTAATCACAATTGACCCACAACTGCACACCCCCATGTACTTTTTCCTCAGGACTTTGTCTTTCTGTGATCTCTTCTGTTCCACAGTAATTGCCCCTAAGATGCTGCAGACTTTCTTAGCTGAGAGGAAAAGCATTTCGTACATGGCTTGTGCTGTGCAAATGTATTGCTTTCTTGTCTGTGTAGATGTTGAGTGTCTCTTGCTGGCTGTGATGGCATACGACCGTTATGTGGCCATCTGTAACCCGCTGCTTTATACAGTCACTATGTCCAGGCAGCGTTGTGACCTGCTGGTGGCTGGGGTGTGCGCTGTGGGGTTGGTGGATACGTTGATACTCACCTGTTGTACATTTCGGCTGTCATTCTGCAGCTCCAACATCATCAGGCATTTCTACTGTGAACTGCCCTCTGTTTTGGGGCTCTCCTGCTCTGATACACACGTCAGTGAGATTGTGATGTTTGCTTCTACATGTTACACTGTGGTGCTCACCAGTGTGATTATCCTCCTCTCCTATGTCCTCATCATCTCCACCATCCTGCGGATCCGCTCTGCTGAGGGCCGGCACAAGGCCTTCTCCACCTGTGCTTGCCACTTGACAGCGGTGGTCATTTTTCAAGGCACCGGCATTTTTATGTCTTTCTCTCCAACCTCCAGCTATTCCATGGACACGGACAAAATAGCCTCATTGTTCTACACGCTGGTGATCCCCATGTTGAACCCCCTCATCTACAGCCTGAGGAACAGGGAGGTGAAAGATGCGCTGAGGAAAGCCATGAATAAACTTCGAACCAATTCCTCAATATTTTCATCCAAATGCTGGTTGAGTGATGGGGAATGGAAACAAGGGAATTCCAGCCCATAGTGATGGTGTCTACTAGAATTTGTGGTGGTATTGTTCATTATTACATTCATATTATTAATTTGAATTCCAACAAAGTCTGCAGGCTCCAATAGAGTTTGGGGCACTAGTATGTTATTGCTCCAGCACAATTAAAGGCGGCACCTGTTTCACATGCGTGAGTATGTAAATATAAGCTGGTCTTTAAAAAGTGGAAATCCAGTCCTAGTGAGGAAAATAAAGGAACATAAACTCTGCCAAATTAAGTTTAAAAATGTATTAAGAAAAGCCAGAAAAGATTTCGAGGAACAGCTAGTCAAAAACTCAAAAAGGAAGAGCAAAATGTTTTTTAAGTACATTAGAAGCAGGATGGTCAGCGGGGCCCCTGGACCATCGAGATACAAAAGGAACCATCAAGGGTGATAAAGCGATTGCAGAGAGACTAAATGATTTATTTGCTTCAGTCTTCATGACTGAGGATGTTAGGGAGATTCCCAAACCTGCACCGTCCTTTGTGGGAGATGAATCTGAGGAACTGTCCCTGATTGAAGTGTCATTAGAGGAGGTTTTTGGAACAAAAAGGAAAACCTAACAGTAATAAATCACCAGGACCGGATGACATTCACCCAAGGGTTCTGAAAGAACTCAAATGTGAAATTGCGGAACTATTCACTGTGGTTTGTAACCTGTCCTTTAAATCAGCTTCTGTACCCAGGATTGGAAGACAGCTAACATAACACCGATATTTAAAAAGGGCTCTAGAGGCAACCGTGGCAGTTACAGGCCAGTAAGTCTAATGTCAGTACCAGGCAAATTAGTTGCAACGATAATAAAGAATAAAATTGCCAGACCCCCATGGTTTAGGGGTGAAAACCTCTTGGGAGTCCTGGCCTGCCTTCTTGAGACAGGCTCCGTGTTGACACGGGGGAAGGTTTGGGGGAACCCAGTTCAGCCCACGACTCCGGGTTCCAGCCCAGACTCCTAAAATAGCAGCAGCCACGATGGTTGTTTTTCTTTCTGACTTGGCAGCTTTTTCCCTAGACACTTCCCCAAACAACCCCTCCAAAATAGCTCCCTCTAGACTCCCTCTTCCATCTTCTTGAGGGTTTACCTGGCTCCTTTCTTCTTCACTGCTGCAGGCCTGGACGCCACCTTCCCTGCTGCTGCTGCTCCCCCTGGAACAGAGGAGATAAGGAGACTGCTTTAGGTCGGCTCCTTTCTCCCCACAGCTTGCTCTGTGGTGAGGGTGTTGGGCGGAGGGGGAGTTTTTAAGGGGCCCTCTGTCCATCTGGGTTCCTAGGTGGTGGCTGGCGCAGCTCTCATGGAGCACTGGGAGGTGGGGGTGGCTCACCCCCCGCTGCTTCCCCTGCATTTCTGTTGCTGCAAGAGTTGTTGCAGGGGCCCTTTGCATCCTTGGCCCCACTGTTTGCCTCCCGCCTTTTCTTTGCTCTGCTGGGACCTGCCACAGGTGCTGTGGGCCTGCCACTCAGGCACCTGTGGGCTCACTTGTTCTCTCTTCAGACCCCAAACTTTGTTTCACTTCGTCCATCATTTATCTCCTCATCTCCGCAGTGCAGCCGGAGGAGCCGGGCTTTCCGTCCTGTGCTGGCAAACGCACCTCTTCTTCCTTTATTCTCTCTTCCCCCTATTTGTATTGCTGCCCTCTCACCCCGCTTCCAGCCTTCTTCCTCCCCTTCCTTCCCCCCCTTGCTCCCTCCCTTGGCACTACAGGCTTCCCCCAATTGTTTGTCCCTGTCCTTCCCTCCCCACCCATGACTACAATGGATGCCCTAATGCCCCTTCACTACTCCTCCTCACATCTACCTCTGCCAGTACCGACCCCTCTGAGGCTGCCGGGCTCCCTGCTCATATAGTGGAGATCGATGGGAATTCTGGGGCCCTGCCTCCTCCTGCCGCACCTCCTCTCACCACTGTCACCATTAAGAAGGCCCCCCTGAAAGGCAGGAAAGGGACATAGGACCAAAAAGGACAAGAGGCCCACGCAGAAGGATAAACATCTTTGGTGAAGGCTCACCCCCTGGCCTTAGAACCAGGGCTTCCCCTCTTTCCCAGTCCCCTGTTCCTTCCACCGGCTCAGTGGGCGATGGTGTCACAGCCCCCAAGGAATATGCCCACATAGCTACCACCTGCTTTAGCCACCTCCCCATCCACTCAGGACATCTCCTGGAATTCCATCTCCGACAGCCGCTGCCCCTTTCCTTTCCTGAGAAGAAGGTACAGGGTCTATTGCCTCTTGGTGTCGGCCTCACCTCACATGGAGACCTACATGCGGGTGTTGGCACATGTGGTGGGGTCCGTGGCCATGGTGGTGGCCTCTAAGATGTTCAGGAAGGTGTTCTTCTTCCTGGCATCTCAGGCTTCCACCCAGGAGGTGGTGGAGAAGGTTTGGCAGTGGGGCAGTCCACGTCCCATTTGAGCTTCTGGAGGACCTGGACGTACGGGTGGTATTTTCCTCTGTTCCTCCCTTCCTCCCCAGTACCAACCTACTACCTTTCCTCTGCACCCTGGGGAGGCCTTTGTCAGTCCCGAGTCCCTTTTTTTGGCGGCAAGGACCCTACCCTCCACCACGTCCTTTCCTTTCACCGGCAGGTACAAATCCAACTACTGCTGGCAGGGTGTGGGGGAGAAGCCCTAGAAGGGTAATTTCTGGTGCTCCATCATGGGGACCAGTACCAGGTATATTATATGATGCAGGATGCCCGGTGTTTTTTCCATCGGGCGACAAGGCATGTCCAAAGGGATTTCCCTGGGATTGTTGCGGAGAAGCATTCAGGACCCCCTGGTGCCCGGGAGGGCACCGGACCTATCACTGACCTTGGCCCTGACAGTCCAGACTCTGGGGTCGCCCCTCCTCCAACTATGACCTTCTTTAGTCCCACTCGGGCTCCATGGGACCCAGACATGTGTCTGGTGCTGCTGACACTGCCAAAAGTGGCAAGGCTGGGCCTGAGGAGGAGAAGGCAGCAGGGTCGATGATGGGACTCGGACAGGGCCTACTTCGGGGAGAGATCTCTCCCTCCCCTGCTGCCCAGCCTCTGTCTTTCCTCGCCTTCCCACCTCTACCCTTGTTCCCTGATTCTTCCCCCATTCAGGTCCCACCTGCCTCCTCCGAGGCGTCGTCATAGGGAGACGCTGAAACCATGCCCTGGCATCCTACCCCACCCACTGAGGGGGAGGAAAACCTCCTCATACCTTTGTGGTGGACTTTGGAGCCAGCTCTCCCTCTGAGCCCCCGGACACTTCACAGCGCTGCAGGGCGGCTGAGGTGGCCCCAGAGGTTTCGGAGGGTGCAAATGCCTCTTTCCCAGAGTGCCTGCATGGGGAAGCTATGGTGCATGCCCCCACCGTCCACACCGCTGCTGTGGGGACGACTGCTGATCCTGCCACCGACAAGTGTGACCACGTGGTGGTGGGCCGTGTCCTTGCCTTCCTCTCTCAGGAGGTTGAGGCCCTAGGTTTGACCCCGGCTGCCTCAGAGGGGATCTCCTTGTCCTGGAAGAGTGACAATTATTGTCTCCTTCCAACATGACACCCTCCCGTCTCCCTGCCCCCGGGTTGCCCCAGGATGAGACCATCTGCCCGGTCATTGGCAGCACTTTGGCCATGGCCACTGGGGGGTTGCTAGTAGGCGGGAGCTCCCATTGTTCTCCATCACCTCATGCTGGAGCCTCTGGTGTTGCATGCCCAGTGGCACTGGGCCCTGGTGCTGGGGAGACACTAACTTCCCCTACTGCTGCTACCGATCCCCTGCCCTTCGAGGAGGCACCGCATCCCTGTACCTTTTCCACTGAGGCTGCTGATCCTGTCCCTGCTCCTAACCCCTGTTCCACTCCTGTTCCCTGCTCAGCCCCTCTCCCAACTAAATTTCCCACTCCTCTTCCTGCTCTTCTTCCACCCCTTCCTCTTGCTCCTTTTCCTAACCCCCCCACTCTTGTTCCCAATCCCCTCCCTGGCCACTTTCTTTCCCCTTGCCCTGTTACTGCTGCCCCCCGCCCCCAGGCTGCTACATTTAGTTCAGATGTTGGCCCCCAGGAGGTGCTTTTGTTTCTACCACTCCCAAGGAGGTCTGGGGCTGTTCTCCCTCTGCCACTGCCACTACCATCTTCCCAGCAGGGACTTCAGGGTCTCTGCCTTCCTATGTCAATCAGTCTTGCAGCCTATAGGGGGGTCTGTCCCAAAGACATTCAGGCCCAAAAGCCCAATGTGCTGAGGACAAGACGCAAGACTTCTTAGAAGACATCCATGGCTCCGAGAACAAAGTGGCTCTCGCCCTTCAGCACTGGGGAGATTTCCATCTCATCCTCCAGACCATTAGGGCCATCTTGAGGGAGGGTAAAAGGACTGGGTAGCAGGAGGCTATGGCCTACCAGTGGGCCCACAGCTTCTGCAATGCCCTGCTCATATTTGGGTATAGTCACACTTTGCTGCGGGCCCAATGGAGGCTGCCAGCACTCCTTGCCAAGAGGGCTTACACTTGGAGAAGAGCACAGATCTTACGCAAGAAGCCCTCTCTTCCCATGCTTTACTTTAACTCTTCTTGCGCGGGCCGTGTGGACGCTCTGCGGGTTCTTGCGCAAGAACCTGCCAGTGTCCAGATAACCATGGTGTTTAAGTCAGTAATTGGAACAACCAAAATGGAGTGTGTGACCCTTGACCTAGGGATCCATGTTGGATTTTCTCAGGTACTGACTGCTCTAAGACCAATGTAAACCGGATTTTCCCACCAAGTGATCACAAGGTTTCCATTCCCCGCAGGCTTTTCCCGCTTTGTAAGGGCAACCGGATTTTCCCACCAAGTGATCACAGGGTTTCCATTCCCCGCAGACTTTCCCCGCTTTGTAAGGGCAGTGTTGCCTCAGCCTTAGCTACTGTTGGCCGCTGTGGAGCCAGGGGCAGCCCCAGCCATGCCTGCGAGGGGGGGAGAAGGGGATTTTACCAACCGCCCCCACACACAGCCTGCCTGTAACACCCCCAGCCTGCGGCTCCTCTGCACCCCCCAGTGCAGGACAGGACATCGTGGGACTCCTGTGCTCCTCCCCAAGGGCTCCAGACAAGCCTGAGGGTAGCAGGTCCTGGGCACTTCCCCCAGCACCACTGCCAATCCCAGGAGAGAAATGTCACTGAACTCAGGGCTTATTCTTACATTTTTAAAACCCAAAAAGGGGTTTGATTTCATGGGTCTGGACTTCTAGGCCCTGTTTCTGTTGTCACTATCCCCAAGTTTGTTTTACGTTTGTTATTTCTGCATTGGGTTATCTCCCCATTTCTCCCTCTTTTGCAATTAATCCCTAGATAATATTATACCTCGTTTGCAACCAAAGATCACCAAATCTTTCTTCATTGCACCTGCATGTAGCTCCCTTTTCCTTCTCTGACTCCACCCATCTGTGCTTTTGCTCTGGTGCTCTTCTTCCAGCAAACTGTCCAGGCAACAAAACAGTTCCGCTGCTCAGCAGCCTTCTGAGAGAGGCCAGCCAGGCCGTGACTGGATAC